CTAATGTATTTTTCATTAGTTCTAACAGCTGGTGAGCGCAGCCCTCTGGCCTTAAGAGGTTTATTTCCTCCTCTTTTTTTTTCTGGAAGAGAAACTCGTCATGAGCATGAGGAGCTTGGCACAAATGAAACATGGTGCAAGCAGAGCAGTAGGGCTGCAGTTTATCTGATTCAGTCTTTCTGTGCAGCCCCCTGCGAGTCTCACACGCTGCTGCTTCATGGAAAAATACAGTTCTGCTTCACAACTCCTGCTCTGGCTGCTCATCTCATAAATCCAGGAGTGTATTAGTTGCACTTGTGAATGTAGCTTCTGGTAACTGATTTGTTTGGAGGAAATGTGTCTGCAGCAGGGAATGGAAATCACTTGTGCCCAGTATCTTGTGTCTCTCTTCTCAGGGTCTGCTTGTGAATTGTATTCCTTCTGCATTTGGAATTAGTGGGTGGTGTAGTTGGTGAAGGCTTGAACTGATGTGTCTGTTCCACTAACCTGTGATGATTCACAGGGTTATTAAGTTAAAAATCATCAAATGTGGGATTGCAGACATGCTGTCCCTCATACTGTTCCATTACAGGAGCAAACAAGACCAAAACCATGAGTGCTTTATTTTTTGTTGGACAAGTCACTCCACATATGTAACCCAGCATTTATATTAATCTTAATTGCATATTTTAATACCATTTTTATAATAGACCTTTTGGCTTTTACCTGTTAGACTCACACTGTTCAGATCTTGCCAAGCCCCCTGTTGGGGTGGATCCTGGTTATTTTAATTTCATTTCTAAGTCTTGCATTTCTGCTCTGTTGTTTTGGAAGTCTGAAGGGCTGTGTGTGAGGAGCCAGAGTGACTCCCTTGTTCTGCTTCTGCCCCCGTGTGTGTTTCCCTCAGCTTCTCCACTCTCCTTGGCTTCATTCCTCGTGCTCTTTGCAGCGTTTTACACTGAATAAATGGGCATTTAAATGGGATTTTGTGTGAGCACGCTCACTCTTCTTAGGGGCTGCTCTGCTGAGCAGTGGCCAAACCTGGAAATTACCTTGAATCTTAATTTGGATGGGTTTTGTGGGGCTTAATTGTTTGAACGTTTTGTAAGCGCGGCCGTAACGGGGTGTTTTATAACATCAGAAAAGATAGTTTTAATAAAGCTGTCTAGAGCTAGAAAGAGGAACTCTTTCTTTGATGCTCCTTTGGTAGATGAAAACATTTTTGTTCAATAGGAGAGCAGCATCTTTTTTTTTGCTCATTTGAGACAAGTTCTGGCAACATACTGATATTCATTCAAATATAAATGCCATATTCCCTTTGAAATGCAAATTGTTTAAAGAAAAATAGCATATGGTAGAGGTAAGTACCTTTTCAAATCAGCTCCCACACTTTAGGGATGTGAGTACAGCTAAAATTATTCTTTGGAAAGAATCTGGAGCCTTTGACACATTGAAGCTTGAACTAATCAAGGCTTCCCAGTAAGCATATACACATATCCATATCAAGGAAACAGTGCTGAGAATACATGGATTAGCATAGTAATTTAACTGCCCCCTGCTAATCAACTTAAGCAACCAGCTGATGCATGCAGGATGCATTTGAAGAGGCAACTCTTTCACAGCTCCAGCCTGGGCCAGGTAGCAGAGCAGGAGCCTGGGGTCGGTGTGAAGATGGGAATCTGTCCTTGGCTGGGGGGACAAAAGGTGCAGGATGTAAAGCCTGACCCAACATACAGGCTTTGCTGGTCATGGATCAGGGAACCACAGAATGGTTTGGGCTGGAATGACCCTTAAACCTCATCTGGTCCAACCCCCCTGCCCTGGGTAGGGACATCTTCAGCATTTTCACTGAGTACTGCTGTCCTCCTCTTCTTCACTGTCTCCTGCTTCTCTGCTGAAAGGCTGAACTGGTCTCTGCTGTCCAGGCTCTATCCATGAGGAAAATTAAAGGAGTTTTGCCAGGTCTGGTTTGGGGTTTGCCCATTGTAGATGGGAAGAACTGTGGGACTCTGTTGGAGAAGCTCTGGCCAGAGCAGCAGTCCTTGTTTTGGGGTGGCAGCTTTAGTGCTCATTGTGGGATTCATGTCCTGCAGTTGGACTGAGAAGTGGGAAAATCAGAGCTGGATTGGGAAAGAATGATTTTAAAACAAGGTTTTAAGTAACAAGTTTGTGGTAGAGCTGAGCATATCAAGGAGGGGAACAGGAAAGGAAAGGCACACTATTTTCTGTAGTCTGGCACTTCTGATGTCTACTCAGGGATGCTGGTTTGATGGTCTGATTTGTCTTAAAAATACATACCTTCCAGCACCTGGACAAAGTGGGATTTAATCCATGATGAATTGATAAATAAATATTATCATAAAAATTGCAGGATAAAGGTTGCCAGGCTGTGGCAGTAGGAAAGAAGGAGCTGGGCTGGGTTCATCACAGTTCACTCAAGTGTCACATGAATGCACTTGGCACCTGTTTTGTGCTAGCAACCTTTGAGAGAGGTGCAGTGGAAGAAAAATTCTGCTTTGTTTCCCAGAACAAGTCACTTCTGAACAGGTTCATGTCACAGCGTGGGGTTGGAGCTTCCACAGATGGCATTAAGGGGAGAGGAGAGCTTTTGGTGCTGACATGATGACACAGAAACCTTGATGGTCTCTTCTCCAGGTGTTGGTTTTGCATCATGGTCAGAAGGTGATGGGACACTTGTGTTCAAAAGCTTGTGGGCTAGGTAGAAGATGTCAGCACAAAAATATCACTGCTTGTGTTGTGTCTGTGCTGGCCTGAATCTCGAGTTGGTAGAACCAACTCGGAGTTGGTTGAACTCCATCTCAAACTCTTGTCACTCACATCAGCCATTCCCTGTAATTTGGTGGATCGTCAAATCAATTTATTAATATTCATCATTTTTCTGGGTTGTGAAAAGCAGAGGAAAAGGGGATTTCACAGTAAGCATCACAGAAGCTGATTTGGAAGGAGAGATTTCTTTTAAGGCAGCCAAAATACAGCTTTGGTCAGCTCATGTTTTCATCTTCTGTTGTGGTTTTAAAATACTGAATTGCAGTTTAGTCCTCTGCTTTGTAGTCTCATGCCTTGGGTGGTCCCACCATGGTTCCAAAACCCACCTTAGACTAATGAAACAAATGAGTTTTCATGTCTATATATTTCATGTCTGCAAAGCAGGGATTGCCAGGCAGAAGTTCTAGAGGGCTGAGTAAGTACATTGAAGACACAGATACTGTGATGGATCTGTGTTAAGGACTAAAGAGGAGATTTTGTCTTGGGAAAGGGGAGGAGAGAAAGGGACAATTATGCCAACTCTAATAAACACAAAGTAGTTCACTAAGCTCTGCTGTCTTCCCAAAGGCTGCTCTGGGAAAAGACATAATGATAGAACTGGGAGTCAGGAGATCTGGGTTTTATTTTCAAGTCTGCCACAATCTTCCTTTGTGGCCCTGGGTCATTTAACCTCTGAAAAATGGGGGAAATGATAGCAGATAATTAACAACCTCACAGGAGCATTGAAAATTAATTCATTAATTTTTCTGAACTCATCAGTAGAAGGTGCAATGGAAATGCAAAGTGTGAGGGTGCGTTATAACACTGCGTCTGTTCCTTTCCCTTTGCATGTGTTTTTTAAAAGTGTTCTTCAATCCAGAGAGGACCTGTGGGGCACCTTTAGAGAGCCTGCCATGAGGAATGAAACTGTAAATTCTTTGTGGCTTTATGATATGCAAGGCCTGTTGCTAGGAATGGAGTAAAATGTGCTCAGAGCCCAAAACCATGGGGCAGGTTTTGGCCCATAGCAAGTTGTGAGTAAGACCATCAGAAACCTGAGTTTCTGGAAAGGTTTTAATTGTTTCTGCTCTAAAATGTATTCAACCTAATCCCACTTGTCCTGTTTTATGGTGAGAAACCTGTCCCTGTCACTCCCCCTTGCACACAGCTCCCAGCATTTTAATGTCCTAGGCCTCAGTGATTGTGAAAATACAGAAGTGTTTACTGAGTAAAGGCTGTTCTTTGTGTGTCCCCTTTTGTGTCACATTCCTGGGAGCAGCCCCAGGAATGATACTTGCAGTCAGTCCAATGTCTGCTTTGTGTTCACAATGTTGTTTTAAGATTAAATGTCCAAGAATTTTTTTTTTTCTCCCTTGGTCTCTCAGTGCTGGCAGTCCTTTGCTCCCCATCAGTGTGTTCTTGGGGGACATACCTGTGTCAGGTCTTATTAAGAGGTGGATTGATTTAAACTCTTGGAGTTGGCTCAGTTGTATAAACAGTGGCTTTTAGGAATAAACTGATGTAGCATTCACATTCTCTGAAAATATCCCTTTGCCCAGGGTTTTTCTCCTGGGAAGCTGAGGAGCCTCAGAGAAAAGGAAAACAATTCTTCTCTCATTTGCTTCTCCTGTGCTGTGCTCACATGTGGAATGTGTTTGGAGATTGTTTACCCACAGGTGATTGTTCCATTGGATTCTGCTAGGAGTTGTTTTGGCTCTTTGGCCAATCAGGGCCAAGCTGTGTCAGACTCTGGAGAGAGCCAGGAGTTTTCATTGTTATCTTTTTAGCATTCTGTAAGTGTCCTTTCTGTATTCTTTAGTATAGTATAGCATTCTTTAATATAATATAGTATTATAAAGTACTAAATTAGCCTTCTGAGAACATGGAGTCAGATCCATCATTCCTGCCTTCATTGGGACATTTCCCAGCAAATACAATAAAATTGATTTTCTGTGCCCAGTCTAACAAGCAGAGAAGCTCCAGAGAGTGTGCCTGGTAGCAGAGTGGTGGAAGATCATGTTTCCCAGAAGGTGAATGAACAGAACGAGGTGATACCATGAAAAACTTGGCTTTTTTTGTCTTCTTAGCTGGATTTGAACCGGTCTCAGGACCGTCAGCTCCGGCGCTTCAGGGATGGTCATTGTGTGGCTGAAGTAACCCCTTCTTTCTGCTCATTAAGCCCCCTCCCATCCATCCTGACACGAAATCCCTCCTGTGCTCTCTATTGACACGATTTGTTTTCCCTTTGTGCCTAGGGAACGTGACTACTAGCACATCTGTGTCTCAGATGGCCAGTGGGATCAGTCTGGTGTCCTTCAACAGCCGCCCGGACGGTTTGCACCAGCGCTCCTACTCGGTCTCCAGTGCAGATCAGTGGAGTGAGGCCACAGTCATTGCCAACTCTGGCATTAGCAGTGGTAAGAAACCTGCAGCTCTGGGGGGTTCACATGCCTCGGGGTGAAGGGGGACTCTGGTGCTCTTGGTTTTTTCCAAAAGGGAAAAAAAAAGGGAAACAAAATGGCGCCCACCGTGTTGTGGTGTTGGGTGCTGAACCGGCTGAGTCTGAGGGGAATATTGGAATTAGAAAAAGGGAATGGATTAACTTTAACTTTTTGTGTGTGACAGGGCAAGGGGGAATGGCTTTAAACTGAAAGAGAGGAGTTTTAGCTTGGATATCAGGGAGCAATCCTTCCCTGAGAGGATGGTGGCATTAGCAGCTCTGCTCTGGTGGGGCACGTACCTTGGGGTGAAGGGGGACTTTGGTGCTCTTGGTTTTTTCCAAAAGGGAAAAAAAAAGGAAACAAATGGCGCCCACCGTGTTGTGGTGTTGGGTACTGAACTGGCTGAGTCCGAGGGGAAAATTGGAATTAGAAAAAGGGAATGGATTAACATTAACTTTTTTTTTGTGTGACAGGGCAAGAGGGAATGGCTTTAAACTGAAAGAGAGGAGGTTTGGCTTGGATATTAGGGAGCAATCCTTCCTTGAGAGGATGGTGGCATTAGCAGCTCTGGTGGGGCATGTAGGGTGAAGGGGGATTTTGCTGCTCTTGGTTTTTTTCAAAAGGGAAAAAAAAGGAAGTGAAACAGTGCTCACTGGGTTGTGGTGTTGGGTGCTGAACTGGCAGAGTCTGAGGGGGAAATTGGAATTAGAAAGAAGGGAATGGATTAACTTTCAACATTGACTTTTTTATGTGGACAAGGGGAAATGGCTTTAAACTGGAAGAGAGGAGGTTTAGCTTGGATATCAGGGAGCAGTGCTTCCCTGAGAGGATGGTGGCATTAGCAGTGGTAAGAAACCTGCAGCTTTGTGGGGGTGAAGGGGGACTTTGGTGCTCTTGGTTTTTTCCAAAAGGGAAAAAAAAAGGAAGGAAATGGTGCCCACCCCATTGTGGTGTTGGATGCTGAACTTGCAGAGGGAAAATTTGGAATTAGAAAGAAGGGAATGGATTAACATTAACTTTTTTTATGTGACAGGGCAAGAGGGAATGGCTTTAAACTGAAAGAGAAGAGGTTTGGCTTGGATATTAGGGAGCAATCCTTCCTTGAGAGGATGGTGGCATTAGCAGCTCTGGGGGGGGGCCATGTACCTTGGGGTGAAGGGGGACTTTGGTGCTCTTGGTTTTTTCCAAAAGGAAAAAACAAGGGAATGAAATGTGCCCACCCTGTTGTGGTGTTGGGTGCTGAGGGAAAAATTGGAAACTTGCAGAGGGAAAATTTGGAGTTAGAAAAAAGGAAATGGATTAACTTCAAACACTGACTTTTTTATGTGACAGGGCAAGGGGAAATGGCTTTAAACTGAAAGAGAGGAGGTTTATCTTGGATATTAGGGAGAAATCCTTCCCTGAGAGGATGGTGAGGCCCTTCAGAGGTTGCCCAGAGAAGCTGTGGCTGCCCTGGAAGTGTCCAAGGCCAATCTGGATGGGACTTGGAACAGCCTGAGAGCATTCTGGGATACTTTTTTCAACATGAAGAGTTAATGTAGTTGCAATACTGCTTAATTTTAATTTCAGGTACATAATCATAGGATCCCAGAATGATCTGGGTTGGAAGGGACCTTCAAGCCTATCTTCCCCTGCCATGGGCCGGGACACTTTCCACTATCCCAGGTTGCTCCAAGCCCCATCCAGCCTGGCCCTGGACACTCCCAGGGATGGAGCAGCCACATAATGTGTGTTGTTTGCTTGATACTCAGATTCCTTGCCCTGTGTGATGGATATTAAGAGTAAGTCACCCTCCAGATCCTCTCCTCAGCGTGTCCTTTCTCTGCTGTGCTCTTGCTCCATTGCCTGCACACTCCTGGCACACTCTTAGTGTTTCCTCTGTGGAGCATTTAACAGCATTAAAAGGAGCAGGCACTATTCCTGGTGGTGTTTTGGAATTATGAGGTTGTAGCAATGATTGTTTTTAAAGGGTAGATGTGATATTTGCTACCAGACCAGGGTGAACAGGTCAGGAGAAAGGGAGGAATGCTGTTTCTGATGGCTGCCCCTAAAATGGGAGCAGTTAGGGGAATATGGGAACTATTTCACATGTCCCACATATATCTCTGTGTCTGTGAAAGGTCTGAACCTGAGTATAGCCCTGAGAGCATCTCTGGGCAGGTTTTTAGTGGCACCTTAGGAGAGCAGAGGGTTTAAAATCATGACCACCGTGTTTCAGAGTGACATTAACTATCAAATTCACACTTAGCACAATACAGACCTTTTCCTGGAGCTGTAAACATGGGGGCAGCACCTTCAGGAGAATTTGCATTAAAATGGTCCAGATGTTGCCTAAGAGTTTTCTGAGTGAGCCTTGCAGGAAGGCAGGGATGTTGTGAAGCAGCACAGTGAAACAAATGCTCCAGCCCTGTTCTCCTCTGTGTCCACCCAGCTCACCCACTCCTGGTGAAGCTTTTAGGGGAGGCAGCATTGCCCTGCACGGATGCTGAGCTGGTTTCCATCTTCAAATCACACATTTTCTGCCTCCTTTTCCTGAACTTGCTTGGTCATTTTAATCCACCCCAGCTCCACCTCCCTTCTGAAAGGTTAGACCAAAGTTTGGGCTTTTTGTGCCTTTTATCCTGTGGCTTTTCTAAGGCAAGATGAGGAATGTTGAGTGCTGGCTGTAGGGGGAAAGCAGGGGCTGTAGGCTGCAGGGCTGTGCACCCTGACACACCTGCAGGCAGGTGAGCAGGTGCCATCCCCATGCCACATGTCCCAAGTGAGGCTGCTGGGGAGGAAAACCTCCAAAATTCAGTGAACTCCTACACTGGAGTGGAAATAGAATCTTAAAAAGTAGAAATATCCCCTGAATTCCTGCCTTTGCCATCACCTTGACTTCAGAATGCTGGGCTTGCTGGACTTGCCTTTTGCTCCTGCTGCTGATCCCAAGCTGGTTTGCAACTCCTGGTGAAGGGAACCTTCTCTCCCACCCCAGCCCTGCACTCTCCCATATGTGCAGTACCTGTTTCTGACTTGACATTCATGTGGGATTACTTCTGGCTCAAAAGAGATGACAGCCAGAATTACCTATGAAATCCTTATTTTGAAATTGCAGGTGACTGGTGGGTACTTGTGAAGAAGCCTACCTCAAATAATTTCTTGCAGATGTTCTAATATTAAAAAAAAAAATTGAGGTGTTGTTTTTCCATACATATGGAGGGAAAACTGGATTAAAAACGAGTTTTAGGCAACTAAGGGTCAGCAGACTCAGAAGTATTGCACTAAAACTCCTACAAAACCTCAAGAATAATTGATTGCTCTGAGTGTATCATCTTTGGGTAAGCTCAGAGATGTGTCCTTTATGTTGGCAAGTTGACGCATGAAAAACCCTTTTTAATTTCTGGGGGTTTTTTCTCCATTAAAAGATTTTTGAATTTTAGTCATAAAAAGCTAATACTGTGAAAGCAGCAGGTATGGCAAGAAGCTAAGCATCTTTTGGAATTCAAATGCCAATGTACTGGAGAATATGCCTGCTTATTGTCACGTGGTTTTATTGTAGACAAAATAACATATTGGGATTCAATTTTTCTCTGCACCTTTTTTTCACATTAAATTAATACTTTGTGTGGCTCCAGAGAACTTTTCAAAGTCTTCCAAACCAGACCTTTGGTTTCCTGGGGCTTCTGTCTTTCAAGCAGCTGTGAACATCTCCTAATTAGATAAATTACTTTGTAGTGGGCAGAGCCACAAAACAGGAGGTGCTGGTTAAATTAAAGGGGAAAAATAGAAAAATCCATTCTCTGAAATGGAATGCCCCACTGCTTTATGACTATTACTGTTGTAAGGTTTTACATTTAAGTACCTGAGGTTTAAAATTAAATGTCTAATATAATTTGGTGCTGGTAACATGAAGCCTGTGCCTGCCCTGGGAGAAAATCTCGACAGCTTAGTTTGGTGTTTCAAATTGCTGCGTGCTGGATAGTGAGCAGCTCGTGCTGCTGGCTCACTATTTAGCTCACTCCCACCTGCTGTTCAGCATCATTTCCAATGCAGGAACATATTTGCCTTAAAAACTCCCGAAATTTCAAAAGGCTGTTCCAGCAGCACATGAAAAATTAATTCTTTTTTTGCCTTTTTTCCTCTTTTTCTTTTTTTTTTTCCTCCCCCCTTCTCCTCCGTGCTCTTGTAAGTGCTTGACAGAAGTAATTTTAGCAGCAAGAGAGAATAAAAACTGGGGGCAGTAAATCCCTGTCCAGGAACCTCTTGTGTAGATTCTTTATGGAGCCAGAATTGATCTGCGTGTCAGATCCTGATGTAGTTTCAACTGTTTATCACCCTAATGGTGGTAGAGAGACCATGAACATCAACTTATAATCCCCCATGAAAGAAATTGGTGTTTGCAGTCAATGAAGGAGCAGCTCAGCTTTATTGATAGATTTGGAACAATTACTGCTGCTCCAGCTATTGGCCCAGAGGTTTTCCTGGATCCCACTGGAAGCCTGCGATGTTTTTTCCTCTGATAAATCTCCTCCTTGATGTTTTGTTGGTTTTTTTTTTTTTATTTTATCACCCAGAATTATCTGTAGTTGCTCATTGCTGGGGCACAGGAGGGTTTCTGGTCTCAGGGGAGCCATTTGTGATCTGTTTGGGTGTTAAAGTTCTGCTCTGGATTGTTCATGCCACAATTCCTCCTGTGTAAATCCAGCTGTTGTTTTCATAAAATCACAACATTTTTACAGTTGGAAAAACCCTCAAATATCATCAAGTCCAACCCTTAACCCAGCACTACCAAGGCCATCACTAATCCCTGTCCCTAAGTACCAAATCCAAACATTCTGTGAACACTTCCAGCGATGATGGAATGTTCCACCCTTTCCCTGGGCACCCTGTGCCAGTGAGGAAATTTTCCTGCCAGGAGGGGACAGCCGGGGGGTCGGGCTGTGCTCCAGGGAACAGGGACAGGAGCAGAGGGAACGGCCTCAGGCTGGGCCAGG